AAATCTTATACATTTATTCGAATTTTCAAGGTTTGCGTAATTTTTAAGGAGCGCATTGGAAGCCATACTGCAGATAAAAAGATTTTCTGGGTTTTATTGTCACAATCATTATGCCTAAATCTATCTTTGTTCTCTATCATTTTATAGATCATATTTAAATTACAAAATAATAATGAAATCAGTTCTTTTTTTTATAAACTATCTTTCAAATCTTTTTTTCACACTCTTTTAGGCAAGTTTAAATTAAGGATTGTATCGATAAATTAAGTTGTGATTTTTTTCTGAAGTAATAGTTATAACAATGAATCTAGTTTATCTTAAAATTTTAATCGTAAAAAAAAAAGTTTTCAACAAAAAAACATACTGGAATTCTCTTCCTTTCTAATAAAACTACTCATAATAGAACTACTCGGATTGAGCAACCTCGCAATGATAATTACTGAAAGGTTGATAAATTTCCAGAATCTGAGCAGGAAATGAGACAGTCTGGTTTACTGAAAAGGTAGTAACAGGGCAAAAAAATTATTGCTTTTTTCATTCCTCTTATTTAGAAAAATAATCCGAATTCTATGATTCTCAGAGTTAGCCATTGTATAAATTGTGCTCTAAAAGTGAACGACTCAGACCTTTAAGATCGAAAACGGTTTTATTACTATTTTCAATGTAAAATTAAATCTGCATTGCCTACTCGCTTTAGTAGTTATTGATGCTGACATTTCAAAGTCATCAATGGCATTTACTAAGACCACAAAATGATCACAAGTCTACTTAACAGCAGCTCTGATGCCACCAAGGACATCCTTATTATGCCCAGCATTAATTATAGTTCAAAGTATTTGTTTCAACCTCTTAAAGCACATGTTTTTTTTGACAGAAAATGAATATATAGGAATAGTATAAGTTACTTTTTGCAATTTCAGTTGTGGAGGGGGACTAGGGAGCATGAGTCAGTGTAAAAATTATAAACAAACTACTGTACAAACAAAGTTTAAACAATTTGATCACAGGCTTATTTTGAATTTCAAAATATTAAAATCAAATTAAATGAACTCAAGTGATCATCACTGAAATTTTCTGATAAATTGTCATTTTCAAAATTGCCAGTATCTCTTTATCGGAAAACTTTTTCAAAACAAGTTACAAAAACACTTAGTGAAAATTAATTTATGATTAACTGTTTACTTTTATGATATTTAATGTTTTAAAAATGGATTATTACATTTTCCACACCAAACTGCTTTATAAGAAAGAATTCTGAACAAACTTATGGCTAATCAAAATGCACTACCTGATTCATCTAAGAAAAATGCTGTGTAGTGGTGTATATCTGTGGAAAATAAACTTAATTATAATCTAGTCTATCCATTTTTACTAAAACGGATCTTAGACGGGCATGAGAAATAAAATAATGCGAGATATAATGCCCATGTGAGACACATGTATGCACAAATTTGCCAGTATCTTTTGCCTGTGTCAGACACGGCCAAATGCGTTAAGTGGTTAAGAAAGCAAACGTGTCGGAAAAAAATAAACATTTGAGAAGTGACATTGTAGGAGCCACAACAGCTTCAAATTAAGGATCATGGTATAAAGCAGGGGACAACGCAAAGAGTATTGTATCGTGTGTATGTACTGAAGTCCTAAGCATAAAAGGCGTATCTCAAAAAACAAACTTTTGAGTGCGAGCATTTTTGTAAATGTTGATTGTATACTAAACTAAAACTACTAAACTCAGTGGTGCGACAGCCCATAGAGGGCCAAGGCCTACTGTGCCCACCTCAGTTTTCTTGGGCTCTGGGGTGCAAGAGCAGCTGAACGCGGAAAATGTTGATTGTATACCTGCTGCATAATATAGGAATTAATGTTTTTATTCATTATTTAACCGAGATACTCCCTTTTGGCCTAGCAAAAATCACAAGACGCTTATTGGCAAAGGGTCATACCTCAATAATATTTACGACATCAATTTTCTGTTAACATAAGTAGAACATATTAATTCATAATTCATGCAATGATTACCCATTAAAAAATTGTAAAAAAATGCCGTATCAATGTAATGCAAAATAAGTATTAGATAAATAATAGCAATATGAGCACTTGCATTAAAAGATTGCCTTCATTTATTAGCAGCATGAATTTTATTAAGTGATATTTAATAGCAAATTACAATATCAACATTCAGGAAGTTGTTCCTAAAACTGCAATCAATTTTTTTCCCTAAGAGGTCATTTAAGTATTTGAGATTTTTTGTTTTCCAGAAATTCCATTGCATTTTTTATGGCTTTTAGGGCCTGATAGATGGCTATGCTTTGACACTCTTGAATATATAAAATTTAGTTCGACAAATCTATGTTGTTTTTGTACTTCAATTTTTAAACCTCTTGTAAATACTACTTCTATCATGCTTTATAGATAAAGACTCAGTTTTGTGCAGCTTAAGGTAATTTTTAAAGAACAATCATCTCACAAAAAAAGGGTTTCAAGTCTATGGGTAACACCTCTGTTCCTGAAGACACATTTTTTTACTGCTGTAACAAAATCTTGGAAATCGTAAAGTTTGCTTCTCATTCGTTTCAGAGAAATTTCAAGTATATGATGAAATGAGTGAGTAGCCATAAAGGTGTGACCCGGTTTAAATATTCTCAGTACTTCAGTTTTTACCCTACCAGAACAAAGCTTTCATAGAGGACAACAATGTAATGGATAAATATTCCATACTTTAACATATCAAGACGTGGTAATATTGTTATTTTTTTCCATGTCTGCACAGTATACTATAGAACCTTTGTTTTTTTCATCTTCAGAATATGCAGTACAAGATTTGTTTGCTCTTTGTGATTTTTTCTTTTTTGACATACTTCACATGACTCATCAATATTGTCTTTTGAATAAATCTTGATGTGCATGCTGACCACTTCGCATGATTCATATCATTCATGGCCTAACTTCAGAATAAAAAAAAATTCCTTTGTTTAGCAACCACACAGTATTTCTCATAGGAACATGAGGTACCATATTTTGACTTAAAGTCATTATACATCAAAGATAAGATCACTAGAGAGGTATAAACGATTAGCAGTAGGCTTTCTGTGGTAATGTGATACAGTTGGTTGAAATGAATTTACATGTTTACAGATGGGATCATCTATTTTATTATGAGGCTCTGTTGAACATTTTATCTCCTATAACTATTGAATTTTCTGAGTTGCTTAGAGCAGTTCGTAGTATCTTGTCATTTGTTTTATCATTGCCCAATGTTATGAGAAAAAATGTTTCGCAAACAATAGACATGTACCATAATGATCCTCTAAGAAATACTGGAATAATTGCTGTCTTCTAAAATTGTCAATACTTTGTACTGTTTTTTGCTTGATAAGGATTTTAGAAACATGATGCAGCATATATGATCTTCTCTCTAAGTTAAAAATCATCCAGTATTCAGAATTTGTCATATTTCTTCTTTCTTTTGTTGCACATTTTCATGAATATTAATCTTCGCAAGCAGATTTCACTTCATGGCTTTGGGCAATCAAGTCAAGTTTATGTATCTTTTTTTTCTTTAAGTGGAGTGAGTGTTCTCTTTTTTCTTTTTCTAATGATACCTTTTTTTGCATATTGAATACCACTTTGTTTACTAAATTACTTTTCTTGATACAGCTTTCTTTCGTAAGAATAATGTCAAGTAGCTCACAAACATTACTAAACACGAAAAAATTTATAAAATTTGATGTCTTATTTTGCTTAGGATGACAGTATATGAGGGGGGATTGGGGGAAAAGCCAAAAGTTCTAGTTTCTAAAATTCTCAAAATTAAACATTTTTGACCAAATTGTTTAAAATGATTGAGCAGTGGTAGTTATTATAGTGCAGTAATCACTTATTAAGAATGATGCATTCAGTATGCTGAATTGATATGTTTTTAATAAGGACAAAAAGGAAAAAAAAAGCACTTAATTCAAATAAATTTTGGTTGCTTCAAAGTTTTATTACTTAAAATAATTATTACTTTAATTTTATTAATAATTATTAATTCAATGTTTACAAAATATTTTAACAGATCTTTATTAAACAAGCTAATTCAATTCAATATATTTTATTAAAATTCATAATTAGGTTTAAGACTTTTTAAATAAATTATTTATAGTAGAGCATCGATAATTTTGAAATGAAAATATAATGGATATGTTGCTGAACAATTTTATACAAGAGTAATCTTTAGTAGTTTCTCCGACTGCTATTTAACAAAAATCTGTGATTATTGAATTGCTAATTAAGATTAATTATTATAAATCAACTGAAAAGAAAATGGCATATGTTGAAATTGCAAAGCTCTATTCCATTGTTAAAATTTCCTAGAAACAAATTATGAATTCAGATTTTTTTTTTCCCATCATATTTTTCAAGTTTCAAAAAATGCTGAAACAAGAAAGATGTAGGTAAAATCAGATGTCAGAAACATTTGTAGAGAACTTTTTAACTTGATTGGCAGTTTTAGAATTATTAAGTTTTACTGCTATCAATCTAAAAAAGTAACTAGTAGACATACATTTAGAAGTGGAAAAGATTTGTGCGAAACAACTGAATGATAAAATGAATAAAACGAAACTGAATGACTAAAATTATAGGAAAAATAATAAAAAACCCCCAACTTTTTTCTACAATTTTTGCATTGAACAAAACAATGCAAATGCACAAATGGGGGGGGGGATATAATTATAATATTTTTGTTGTAGGTAAACAAAAATTTAAGGGAAAGAATTTATTTATTTCAATAGAATATAAAATATACGATTAAGCTAAAAATGATCTTGAGGGAGCAAAACTTAAAATATCAAAACAAAAGACAAAATAGGAACAAAATGGATTTGAGGGGTAAAAAGGAAAGCCCTATTTAAGGAAAACTTAATTTTTACCTAAAATAAAGATAAAAAATAAACTAATATACTCAGTGTTTCGACAGAAACTTACATAATCAATTGAAGTGATATTTTTTCTGGCAGTTAAAAATATAACAATCTTTTATTACATATAAGTACATATATAATAACAGTCATCTCACCAAAGGAAGAAAAAACATAGATTGTAGTATGATTTACAAAAAATAAAATATTTCCATTCAATTAATGGAATTTCAACTTTAGAATGGAAAACAATAATACTTGTAGTCTTTTAAAAAAACAAAACTAAAAAAACATAGATTTTGAAGTTCATTCCTCATTTATGATTTAGAATATTTTGAAAAGAAAAACATTGCACACAATGTAAAAGGCATTTCAATGCGTCTTTACCAGTCCTCCATCTCCTTCAGATACAAAGCGTTTGCGTCCTCTGAAACAACATCAAGCATTAGCAACAATATCAAACAATTAATGTAAGATTACAAAGTTTTTTAAAAAAAGACTGTACAAATCTTATGGAAAATAATTTTCTGTCAAATTGGTTGAAAATTGAATATGTTGCAGTTCATAACAATCTAAGAAAAATCGCATTGACATTAAATCCAAAAATGGATATAGTTTCCCAAATACAGAATATCAAGTACAAGAGATAGGCAACAGTCAGTGAAGTGAAAGATGTTTGAAGTGTGCAGCATTAGCTTAGGTGAATGCAAAGTAATGCTAGATACTCATTTTAGCTTTGGAAATTCTGATGTGCTACTAGCTGTTAATTAATTAATCTTACTTTCAATGCTTATTTAAAAGTTAATTTTTAACTATTTTTTTCAATATCCATGGTTAAAGCTTATGTCATTACAGAATTACTATTTGTGGTTTGAGGCTTTGTACCTCGGTAACTATAAATTTCTGGACTATGTGTCAATGAGTACTTGTGAACAGAATGATTTGAACAAAACATAATAAATCTTTAGTCAATTTAACAGAGAATTAATTTCCATAAGACTTGTGCGGGTCCTTTAACAAGTCATTTTGGTGTTTCAAGGTTACATGGACCATTGAGATTATCTCAAAAATGCAACAAAAAATATTAAAATAACAAGCAATTACCACCAATTTTAAAGATAAAAGAATTTGTTTCAGTTTTCTGAATTCAAGAAAGCACTGTGTCATGGATATTTACAGTTAAAAAAGTTTTAATAAGAAAAAAAAATTAAAAAGAATTTAATATCATTAATTGTTGTAAATTAAAGTTATACTGAATTTCTTTAAAATATATTATTTATTGGAAATGCATACAACTTAATTATCAATATTACAGATGAAAAAAATCAATCTAAAAACAATCACAATATTTTTAGTAATTCCATCGAATGTTTAAAAAAACAGACATAAGACCCAATTACAAGGGAAAAAAAATAAAAAAATAAAATTATAATTTTCATGTCACACAAACACTTTGAGAATCAATGATATAGGGAAAGAAAAAAAAAAAGGTTTGTTGTGGGTGTTAAAGTAACATGAAATGCTATGTTAAACAAAAGAAAATTAAAATCCCTGTGAAAGTTCGTTGTTTCACAGCATACAATGAACTGTGCTAAGTTATATTAATTTTCTGCTTAATTCTAAAATTTTTTTGTTGAGACTTCTAATTTCTTTAAAAATCTTTATTATCCAAACACATGAATTTTAAATAGCGCATTGCAGCAATTAGTTTTGACACGCTCAGTTTTCCTTGATTCCATCTTAAATCCATGTGGTGTTATTGATTGTATTATCAGCAGTTCTTACCATGGATTTTAAAATCAGAATGTTTTATTACTATATTAGTCTGCCTGGTGAATTTTGAATAACACTGTGCAACAAATTTGAAAGTTTTTTCAAAAATTCCTTTGGATGAAAATATGTGATTTTGTATAAACATAGGGTGCTTTATTCATTCATGCATCAAAATGGCCCATCACATATCACTTTTGTATCAGAAAAGTTGCCCAACTTTTAGTGAGTTCGCTCCCTAATACACTTTTTCTTGCACCTTGTTTATCTCACTTCCTAATACACTTTCTCTAGTATCTATCTCGCTTCCTATTTTACCTAAAGCTTCAAAACTTTGGGTAGATACATAAGGCTTTTGTTGCCAGACTGGCGGCAATACCCTGTAAATACACTACAAGAAAGCACAATCCTGCTTTTGAACTACATATAAAGGGTTTAGACATCAATACTTTAGCTGAATAATCCATCAATCTTATGTTAGGACCAGTGGTGTTAAACATACTCCATGACTGGCATATAAGCGAAAATAATACAAAGAGGACAGATAACAGTAGCCCTGAATAGAATTCTTCAAATTCAGTTGATTCATGCAGGAATAGTGTAACCTCAAAAGATCAGTAATTGTTAACATTTGAAAACTACTTTAGTTACAAAATAGTGTTTTAGAGCATTGTTTAAGCAAAACAAAAAGAAAATTTTATTATTGCATGATACTTGTGGAACAAAATATTTTATTTTTAAACCTGATTAAAAATAAAAAAAATCTTCCTTATGAATTAGTACATCCTTATGAAATAAGACCCAGTTATTAGAATAAACAATAAACACAAAAATAATTTTGGCCAAGCCTACTGGAATAAGAGCTATGGGTCAACCCAACCTCAGGCCTACAAAGAGATTTTGCCATCCTGAGAGCAATTGGATGACCATGGTCAACAAAAGATTGGTATGGAAGAAAATTCTTTTAGAAGGCTAGGGCACTCTATGGGCAGTCATACCACTGAAGAAGAAAAAATTAATAATTCTATCTTTATTCACACATTGCACAATTTTAAGCATTCAACATTAAACTACACACTAAATTACAATACTAATTTTTGTAGATTGTCAAAACTTCAGAATTTCCTTCTTTATAGATACTCATTACATTAAATAATATATTATTTAAAATAAAGATTAGGCTAAGAAAAATAATTCAATCATATGTATACAGAAAAAATAGTTACCGAGAAGGCATCTTCTTAACAACATCATCCAACAGAAATCCAGCAGCATGGCAACTATTCACAAATTTTTCTAACACAGTATATGCTGGAGGGACATCAATAACAATATCTGGCATTTCACCATATACACGAAGAAAGCCCTAGATAATAAATATTGATTTTCATTTACAAAATGTCATAAATTCAGAAAAAAATTTTTAATGTTTTTTTTTTTAATTATAACATTTAAAGAAAAACATTTGATAAGAACATGAAACATTTATTAAAAATTACTCATATAAAGAAATGAAAGTAAAGTATATCACAAGTGTCAGTTGTTGTAATGGAGGTTAGAGCTCCATAATTTTGTAATCAACATTATTTTTTGTCCACTGTACAACATTGTAGATGAGGTAAAAAGCAACAAACACATTAAAGTATAGAATTTTAATAAGTTTAACAGTAAAAATCAAAAAAATTACCCTTGTCATTTGATCAGGAGTAACTATCATGCTGGATGCTAAAACTTGGAAGAGTTTACACATTAAATCCATTGAACTATCTCGCATATCTTCAATCACCATTATTAGGGCCTGAAAATGAAACAAAATTTTATCATGAAAAAAAGATACCTAATTAAAGAAAAACATCTGATGAATGGTATTTTCATAAATCATGGATGCTATAAGCAGAAAGATGAGAAGGTAAAAAGTGTTGTAGGTTACATAAATTGTTGTAACTTGTAACCAGGGTTTGTGATTATTTGATTTAAATCGGATTTTTTTTATTTTTATTTAAATACACTGTAAGAACTTTGATTTATGTTTAAAAATCGTTATGAATGCTTAATCAAAATTAAATTAATATTAAAAATATATTATAACAATATTTCAGAAGCTCTAACTACCTAAAACAATTTTTCATTATAAATACATACCTTTGAATGCATAGCAACCATTTTGAAATAAATGCAGGATTGAAATTTAAAGACTATATGAAATAGAGAATTTAAAACCTATTTTTGGCATATTAGGGTAATTTCTTTTTAAGATAACCTCAAGCTTTAGAGATATACATTTTGCACCAAAAAAATATAATGTAGATTTTAATTCCATGCATTTTCAATCAAAAGGTAGAATTTTAATAAAAATTATTTGTATTTTTTTTGTAAAAAAAATTCATGTTTTATTAATTACTTTCTACAGCTATGGAAGTCTATATTAAGATTGCATTAAATGTTTACTTTAATCTGTGCTTTCAATCAAAAGATTTTTAAAAATGTAATTTCAAATGTGTTGGAATTTAACACACACCAAGAAAGAAAGTAATTTTGTGAACTAAAATTAATTAATGCATTATTTAAAATAAATTTTAAAACTAAGAAAAGAAAATAATATAATTATCAATAATTTAAAACACTGTTATTTAACTTTTTAAATCAATATATAATATTTAAAAAAAATCAGTTGATTTAAATCAACAAACCCTGCTTGTAACTACAGTTAAACAAAATAATTCATATTCAGTCCTAGCAGCAAAAGCATAAAAATGTATAGGATTTTTTAAATAATGTATACTGGTAGAATCTGCTAATTGCGACAGCTAGAAAACCAGGGAGGTCCGGGGAAGAGGGATTGAGGTTTAGGCCGAAGGTAGGAAGATCAGAGTAGTTCCTGCAGGGAAGGATACTTGCGGACGAACACAACCGATAACCACGGCTAGGAGCGAACAGTCAGCTCTTCAATATTTAAGGAGTGGATATTTTGACATTGTGGTTGTTGCAGCGTCCGAGACCTCGTCTCTCCCTGGTGATGCCCACTTTCAAGAGGAGATGCTGCTATCGACAGTTTAAGTTTTAATCATTCTTAATAACTACTTTTAAAATGTTTCTATGGATAATTATTTTTGGAGTTTGTTTGTTGATGGATTATTAAATTTCTAATTAAAGAATGATGTTCCAGTGCAATAGTGTTTTATTTGACATCTTCCACTAAACAACATATACATATATGACAACCTTTTAAGTGACTGGTCCCAAATCAAGTTACGAAACGTAACATACATGAAAATGCAATTTTAAGTAATTGTGTAAATTAGCTCTAGCTCTATTTAACTTATGAACAAAGAAGAACATTTTAAAGTTATTATATTTTGAATAATACCAAAACTTTAAAGTAATTTTTTTTTGCATTTATATCTCTTAAAAAAGCAGGTTTTCACTGCCAAGAATTAGTGAATTCAATATCTGTAAACATTACAAGCTATTGATACAAAAATAAATAAATAAAAAATCACATTATTTATTACTAATTATAAACTAAATCACTTACAATTACTTTTATACTAAATCACACTATTTATCACTAATTTATTTTGAGTCACATATATCTTATTTTGAATATTTTGTTTATCAACTAAATAAACAGATATTGAAATTAGAATATGGCTTTATAAAAATAAGAAAAACTTGGACATATGAACATGGTTACTTCAAACCAGGCTTTTATTGAAAAGAAGTAACCAATATAAACTCAGACATAGAACACAAACAAAGTTTATGGTATAAAAGAACACATTTGATAATAATTATTAATTTTAAGTCACATATATTTTCAATCATATCATCTTATCTTGAATATTCTTTTTAATCATTCATATTATAAGTTATTAGAAATAAAACAGGGTTTAATCAAAATAAGTATCGTTTAGACAAAGTTTTAACCAAGGATTTTATTAAAAAGAAGTAGCCAATTAAAATTCTTTTATTTAGAGCACAAAGTTTTTACTAAGAAAAGCTATTGGATTAAAAAATAGATTAAAAACCATCATCATTACTCTAGTATTTAAAATAAGTATTTTCAATGCGTTCAGTATGTGTGTAAATTAATTAGTCATTGAAGCCCATCAGAACCTAAAAATTAGACGAAAATGATGAGTTTTTATGAGGATGTTTATTTAAAAATTGACTTAAAAATACCAAAATCAGAACTTTATGTGAAGAAAATATATAGGACAAGACACTGTTTTTTTAAAATATAGGATACTTTAGGACATAAAAAAAAAGGAAAAGTAGATAAAATATGAAGTCTGAATATTGTTTATACATTATGACGTTGCTGAAATAAATTTGAGCTCAAAAAATTGAGGTTGCGCATTTTATCTGGCATATCTTAAAATAACCACCAAACTTTGGTTCAAAATTTCCTTAAATCACGTAGCATCCAAGACTTGTAACTGAAATGAAAAAGTATTATTTCTTAAATGAATATTACAACATTTTGAACATTAATTAGTAAAACTTATTTATGTTCAAAATTTAAAACTTAATTAGATAGATATTATTGAGAAGAATTTTTCATAAATTAGATTAGTCCAGTATTTTATGCATAAAATAGCTTTTATTTTAACACTTTTATGTTTTTAAAAAAGCTACAAATTTCATAATCAAGTAGTTTCAATCCTTAAAGAATAATTAAAATTTTAAATACCAACTTCACTAACACACATTACACTAAAAGTTTANAAGAAGAAATACCTCTTTACTGAAAGACCACATCTGATTGCCGCCCATACCATGACAACGCAATAATTTGACAGGACCTTCACTCGAAGCGGCATCCAGACAGTTGTCATCGGACATGATTTGCTGACGTTTGGTATATGCAAACACCTATGCGATATGTCACAAGTTATTTATGCTAAAACACAAAATCAGGAAAAAGGCAGACCATTTTTAAGCATTGAAAATCAATTTTGCTTTAAGAGGATGCAGAAATTTTTCATCACGAAGTCTCTTTCTCCTTCATTAGTAATTTAAAGTGTAGAAAAAGTTAATTCAGACAAACCTAGAGTACGCCACGAAGTTTTAAATACTGAAAAGAAAATTTTAAAATATACAAATGAAAATAAATTAAGAGATAACTTAGGAATACGCAACAGAGAAGTTCTCTTTTAATAATTTGTTTGCATTTTAATATTTTGAAGTATTTTTTTCAGCAAATTGAAATTTCATGACTTACTACATTATATTTATTTTAAATTGGTAATGAAGGAGAAAAATAGTTTTTAGACGAAAATTTTTCTCCGCAGTATGTTGCCCTCTTAAGCAAGCCTCCATTTATGTTTATAATAAACAATAAATATTAACCTTTCAAGTATTGAGTCCCTATGCAAAATTATACAGTGCACAAAATAAAGAAAAAGAATATCCCGCATAACTTTTGTTGTAGTGATCATGGGTGAAAGTGGTCAATTAGTACCAAGACTGAAAATTTTTGTAGGAATTTTTTTTCTTAATTTGCAGTTAAAAAGGTTATTGGAAACATTTTCGAAGAATTATCACGTTCGATTTATTTTAAACAAGATATTCTACATACATCTAAAGAATCTTAATTATATATGTTTAATAGCATAAAATTTAATGAGCTTTTATATTCTTGATAAAATAACTGTTTACATCTAAATATGAAACAGTTAAGATAACTACTCTACAAAAAATGTTTGAATTTAACTTTAACATATAATTACCAATGAATAATTATACCTTTCAGTAAGTTTAACTTCAAAATTATTTTTAAAATAACAATATATTAGACCAAAATGTTAATTTCAATGCGTAATTAAGACAACAAAAGAATTTTAAATATTGAAATTCCCTACAAATTGACATTTTTTTTATTTAAAAAAATTACGAACATTAAAAAATATTTACAAAGTAATATGAGTATTAAATTAAAATAAAAACACTTAACATGATTTTTTTATATATTTACAGTTAATATAATTGGGAACACCAAGGTTCAACAAAAATAGTACAAATTACAAAATGATCTAGTTGCAATAAAAATCAATTATTAATATTTTTCAATAAATAATTTTATAAAAGATACTTCATAGAACATTAACATATACACTTTCTAATGAGTTACAGTTATTTCATAGTAATAATAATTTTGGTAATTCTAAACTTCTAAAGACATTCTTCTAAAAACATTAAGTAGTGTCAATTTGCATCATTAATAATCATTTAAAAAATTTCATTAAGCAATATAAAAATTTTCTAACTTAATGTACTTCTATACTGAAAATATTTTTTTACATATTTACAATTAATGAAACTGTAGGCACCAACCATAAAAATAATCTAATTGCAATAAAAATAAAACTCAGGCAGTAGTAATATACTGAATATTATTAAATTCAAAAATATTTACCAACAAATAATAAAGTATATCTCATTACACTTTCCATAATAGGTTGCAGTTCTATTAAAGAAACAATATTTTTGGAAATTATTCAAAATTTACTAACCATTATTTCGAAGTACAATAACAAACTTCCTTCTAAATATTAAGAATTAAAAATACTGATTTTTTTTAAATTTGAAAATGAAATTTATGAATTCTAAAAAAATAAGTAACAAGAACATTCATACTTAATATAATTAAATTGTTTTCATCATAACAAAACACATTAAAAAATGATTATCTACACTACTTTCACATATCTCTTATAAAATCTCATCTTAAGTAAATAACAGATATAAATGAAAAATGGACAAATAAACAGTATTTCACACTAAAAAAGTTACCAA